TCTGGGGTCCCCCACAGGTGTAAAAAACCAGGTGTAAAATGAAAAACATTTTTCTCCAGAAAAAAATACCTCATTTTACTTGGAATTTAATGCTGATTTCGAATATGTAATTATTTTTGCAAAATATTGGGGGCGAAAAAAATGGCCTTACCACCACTTGTCCTTTCTTTGAATGAGATACTAACTTCAGATAATGTCGGTTGATTTTGTTTTCTTAATAAACGTCGTGTTCCTTGTAGTGCAGGATCAGCTTCATTAATCACCTTTTTTTAGAAATAAAATTCAGATATATTTTAAACGTACACATCTATTATTGAATACATACATCAAATGTTTTTTTACCAACAGTTTCAAGAACATCAAGGCTACCGGCAACAACCTTCATACCCTTGAGATAAACAAAAAAAAACAAATACATAATCATATGTAATATTATTCATTTTCACATACAGTATTCGTTAATTTTTCCAAGCTTAATGCATTAAGCCAACCATCTTGATTTGTAACTGAATCATTTCTTTCTGTCTGAATATTTGATGCTTCAGGTTCTAAAAATAAACAATTATACAAAATTTCGAGACTAAAATTTTCTTTAAATAGAAATTGAAGTTCTAATACATTCTATCAAATAGATTTTAAAATAAAAACAAAAAATAAAACATTGTTTTTTTGACAAACCATCTTCACTGTCTGATGTTTCGCCTTTAATTTTAAATGCCATTCGATTCATTTCTGCTAATTGTTGAGGATCAGGTGCACCAAGACCAGCTTCAACTGATTCAATAACTGCATTTAAACCTTCACCTAGAATAATAAAAAATATGATTTTTCAAAATGAAAATTATAATTAATATCGATACATACTAACAGTATTTGTTAATGTTGAAACACTTTGTTTAGCTGTTGATAAGAATGATCCAAAATTACTCCATGGATTATGCCAAGTTGACTGAAAAAAAGAAGATAATTTATTTTTTTTTTGTTTTTTTTGAATAAAGAAAATATTTATTAAATTCACTGTATGTTTTGGTGATTGAGCAGCAAGTTGATCTAAAATCTGATGTGCATCTTTAACATCATGTTTAGTTGTTGTTGTTGTCGATGATGATGTTTCTTCATCATGTCGTTGAATTGAATGAGATAATTGTGTATTTTGTTTATTATCTTCTTTATTTAAATTTAAATTTAAATCATTTTGTTTTTTACGATATTTTTTTCGTTGTATATATTGTTGAATAGACGATTGTGATTGATCATCTTCATCGGAACCAATTTGTGATAAACTATCACCTGTTTTTGAAGGTGATGATGATCCTGATGATATAGAATCTTGTTGTAATGATTTGGAAGTTTTTATTGGAGTTTCATTTGGTTGTTCATCATCTATATTCCAGTCATCCCAACCATCAGTTACAGGTGATTTATGTGATATTGATTGATCTGGATTTTCATTCGTAGATGATAGTATGGGATCAGATGAAAGAGGTGGAGTTGGAGGTTTAGTTATAGGAGGAGATATTGGTTCACCTTCATCTGCACTTTCAAATTCATCATTACTATCATCTTCTCTAGTCGAACTTGACATTTGAGTAGTTTTATTGAGTGCAAAAAAAAAACAATGATTGTTTTTGTTGAGAAAACGTGTGTTTTTTTCAGACTTTTATGTAAAGGCTGACACGTATACACAAGAAAATACAAAATAATATTTATGATAAATGAATCATATTTTCTCCTCAATCACGAGATTTTGCCATTTTTTAACCTATAAAAAAAACTTGTATTATTGGTTCTTGATATTGGTTTTTTTATTGAATGTGTTATTTAGTGACATCTTTTGATGAATTATGAAATTCAACTAAAGAATAGTTTTAACACTTTATCCTTCATGTTTTTGTTTGTTTAAACATGAGAAATTGATAATTATATTGTTCTCATCTCCATTCTAAAAATTCTTTCGGAACATATTTGAATCACATTGCTTTTCGAACCAATTAATATATAAATTGAACGGATGCCTACTTCTATTGCTAAGTTGCTACATTTCAAAGAATATTTCGATTATTTTTCCTTCTCATAATAACATATAGAAAGTAATGAAAAAGTATCAAGATTGACTTATTTTATTTCTTTTTACTTGACAGATGATAGAGTCATCTAGGAAAAGCATAGCCATTACATTAAAAATTAGATTCATGGTCTTTCATATGATCAAATATTGATAAGAACTCTCTTTCAAGATACTTACCTGTTCTTATCTATTGATTACTTATGGACTAGATGCAAAGTTAAAAAACAAATAATGGTCTATTAATAAATCGTAATTCATATACGAAAAAGAAATTTTCGTTTCTACATGAAAGAAATGTTCGTTTGAACTATTGAATGCTATATAATAAACATTATACTTTCAGTATACAATACTTCAGAAATTGTTATTCATCTAACATTAAAACTAAATCATCAAATAATATGACCTATGAAAAGACAGATACAAAGATGATTATTATCAAAGTAGAGAAGATTTTTCACTATCAAAACAATGTTTATTGTGTTGGCAAACTTTGCCTGTTCCTGCGTCTGAAAAGTGATTATATAGAATCAGGATATTCTTCAATCTCTTGGCAAAATTTTCGTTTTTCCGAGCAAAACTGAACGATTTTATTCGTGTTTTTGCTCATGGATTTCCATAATAAGAGTTGAACTCCCTCTCTCAATCTTGATGACTCTAAGACATCCTTGTCTATAATTAATAATTCAAATATGGAAGTATCCGATAATCGCTCCAGTATGATATACAATATTATACGCCATCTGTTTACGTTAATTTTGATTGGTTTATTTAATGAACAAATATGCATACTAATTTTTTTCGAATAGCTAATAATATTCGACAAGAACTACTGACGATTCAAAGATTATCTCATGTCGTATTGAATGACATGAATCTCGCCAATGTAAAATCGGCCAAAGATGGTCTTCTTTTTGTTGGCTTTAATCAAGACGCTAGTAAGATTTTATTACATATGTATATATTCTTATCTTTATGTATTAAAAATCATCTAGATTGTTTTGCTTGTGGTCTTGAAAATGGTTTTCGAATATATAATTCCGATCCACTTCGTCAAACACAACGGCAAGGTATGAAAAAACAATAAACTGTTTTCAATTATTATCTTCTATGTTCTCTAGATTTTGGTGATGGTGGTATTGGACAAGTTGAAATGTTATTTCGTTGTAATTATGTCGCACTTGTTGGTGGTGGAAAATCACCTAAGTATTCTACATCAAAAGGTAAGAAACAGAGAAATTTCAATGAGTTGAGCATCCCAATAGATTATCGACCTTTGACCCGGCTTAATGTATTGAGGATTCGAGTTAGCAATTCTAATGCACAACAATGATGATAAAAATCAAATCTATTGATAATAAAATGATCAAATTTCATTAAAAAAATCTACACATTGATCTCTGAGTTGTGCAATTAGCAAAACAAAATTGAATATCAAAAGATCTTCTTTGTTTTTATTTCTATTAGTTATGATTTGGGATGATGCAAAAAAACGTGTTGTTATTGAACTTGAATTTTCAACTGAAGTTAAAGGTGTTCGTTTGCGTCGAGATCGGTAGATAAAAAGAAAAGAATGAAAATTTTAAGCGAAAAACAAAAATGAAAATTTTAATTTTAGAATTATTGTTATACTTGAAACAATGATTAAAGTTTATACGTTTACACAAAATCCTCAACAATTACATGTTTTTGAAACATGTACTAATACTCGTGGTATGAATAGATTTATTTCTTAAATTTAATTTTTATTATTTATAAAAACAAAAAAAAGGTCTTTGTGTGGTTTGTCCATCGGGTTCAAAATCCTTTATAGCTTATCCAAGTCGAACAATTGGTCAAGTTTGTTTAGTTGATTTAGCTGCAACAGAAAAACCTGTTGTAGAAATTCATGCACATGAAGCATCTATTATGTGTAAGTTTTTCTTTTAAAATTCAACTAACTATTTTAATCATATTGAAATTATAGATCTTGCTATGAATATGACTGGTACACGTTTAGCTACTGCATCTGAAAAAGTAATTAATTTGTAAAAATTTCGTTTTAAAAAAAAGAACATCTATGATTTTATTCAATATAGGGAACATTAATAAGAATATTTGATACAGAAACAAGTCAATTACTTAATGAATTACGACGTGGTGCTCAACATGCAACGATTTATTGGTAATAATTTTAAATAAATTTTTATTAAGAAATAAATTTTTCTTGTTATCTAAGTATAAATTTTAATCAAGATTCAACTCTTTTATGTGTGTCAAGTGATCATTCAACGGTACATATTTTTTATATAGAAGAATCACATAAGAATAAATCACGATCATCAGGGTTGGTTATTTTTTTTTGAAAAATTTATATTTATTTTTGTTTTGTTTTTTTCTTGAATGAAGTGCCGTAGCATTTTTACCCAAATATTTTAATTCACAATGGAGTTCTTGTAAATTTCATTTACCTGAAAATACAATAAGTATATGTGCATTCGGTCCTAATTCGGACTCAAATAAAACAGTAATTGGTATGTTTTGTTTTATTTTTAGTCGATTAAAATCAGTTTTTTTTTCTGTTACTTCTTTGTAAAGCTCTGTGTTCTGATGGTTCATATTCTCGTTTTTTAATTACACCAAAAGGTGAATGTGTACAAGATCAATGCCGACAATTTCTTGAAGTTGGCGAAGATGGTTCGAATCTTATTGGTGCTACAGCTAATTGATTGAGAAATTTTTTTAAGTGTAATTAGAACAACTTATTCATCTTATGTTTATTCTTTTTGTTTTTCTTTTCCTCAATGTATAAAAAAAAAACAAGACGGTTGATTCGATGATAATTGTGATTTTTGTTGAAGCCAGATGTTAATGAATATTATTCTTTCTCTTTTTCTTTAAGATGAATACTTTAACCAGATGTTTATCTCTACTGGTAAAACAGAGATCAATTTTTCAACAACATCCAATGTTTATTCGAACTATTCCGTAAGTTGTTTTTCATATTTATTATTATGGAAAAAAAGAAAAACATTTTGTTTCGGTGTAGTAAACTTGTACCCGACAATGTTCATCATGATAAAGAAGTTCAACAATTGTATAATAAAGTAAATAATATTGTCCAAGATAAATATCAAAATCGACTATTTGCTGTGATTCAAATTGGTAATGAACAACGAAAAGTAACAACAGAAGATATTATTTGTAAGGTTGATGAATTTCATCCAACAATTGGTGATAGAATTCGATTTGAAAAAGTTAGTTTTTTATAATTCTATAGAAAATAAAATTCTTTTTTTTTTTAAGGTTCTTCTTGTTGGTAGTTCAGATTTTACAGTTATTGGACGACCTATTCTTGATCCACATTTTGTTCGAGTTGAAGGAATTGTTATTGAAAAAACTTTATCACAAACTCAAATGGATTATTGGTATGCACCAAGAAAGAAAAAAGTTGGTGAAAAACATTTTCGTAAGTAAATTTATTTTATTATTATAAAAGAAAAAAAAACAGTTATCTTATTTGCATAGTTTGGCGTGATCCATTGACTATGATTCGTATAACAAATATTGAAATACTTGGACCAATACCAGGAACAAATCAATCGAACTCATGATGTTTGTTTGTTTGCTTTCTTTTTTGCGATTGTTAGAACTGTTTTCTCGATGGTAAATATAGGATCGTTTTCTTTTCTTTTTTTGTCAAAATAACAAACATGAATTGTTTGACTCATTAATGAAGATATTTATTTTTATTTGAATTAGACAACAGTTCTCATAAGTAATCAACATCGATTAGGAAAAAAAATTTATGATAAGGTGTAAAATGAATATACGATGCACTGGCAAAGTGCACATAAAAGAACGTGCCGTACTATGTTCTTGTCACATTACTTCTTCTAAAAAATAGCTCGAAATAAAAAAAAAACTAATTGAGCACAAACAGTCTTCTGATGAATTTGAAAAAAAACATGAAGTAGGTAATTATGTCTATATATATATACTTTAGTTTATTGCAAAGGTTTCATGATTACATTTGAACGATAAGTGTAAATTCCGATTAAACTATTATTCAGTATATTGTGTTATAAATAGCTTACATATTATTAAAATTTTAAGATCTTTTTTGTCTTGTATATGTATAAAATAAATTATTAAATGAAGAAAAATATATTTACTCTAATATTTAATTAATGATGAATACTACAGAGATATTTTGTATTAGTAGATTATAAAACAACACTATATTGTCTTGTCATATTTCCTCTTCTTGCCTTTTTTAATGTTCTGAGTTAGTTTTACAGATATAAAATGTTAATGAGGCCAGCACAAAGGCAAACAACGAAAACCAAACTAAACAACAAAAGTTATTAAATACGAATATACGCACACTTGTAAACTATTGAAAGCAAATAGACAAACGGTTGCTCATTAGTACATTGAGATAAGAAAAAAAAACGATTCTATAAATAAAAATGGAAGAAAAATGAAAAAAAAAGATGGTCTATATTGATAAAAATGAATGTTGATGGAGTTTTTGATGCATATCAAACTCGAATTTCATTTGTCTTTACGAAGAAAGACATATATATATATATACGTGTGCTGTTTTGTCATAAAGAATTTTGTTCGCGAAATTAAATAAAAAGAAACAAAATGATCACTGTTTGATATAACTATCTGAGGGTGAAAATAAGTTCGACATTAAAAATTAAAAAAAAAACAAAAAGAAAAAAAAAGAAAAACTTTCATCACATTTTTGTTATGTCATTCTTATTGCTCGCATTTGAGCTAGTTCGTTGACGTTGCTCAGTATTATCATGTGGCATTGATGTTTCTGTTTGTTCAATTACAATGGATGGTAATTGTTGATTTATTGGATTTAGTGCCACGTCATTAGTTGGAGTTACTAATGGTCGATCTTCATCTGGACCAAGTATACTTATACTTAATTTACGAATTCTAAAAAACAAAATTTTATTTGTACACTTTTACAAAGGGCGAGAACAGTCGACAACTTTTGACATTGGCTTCCTTGAGAAATATCGTTTCTCCTATGTCAAACTGTCACATAAGATCTCCGAAAGTCACCTCTGGTAGCATTAGTCAATGGTCATCACATGTACATTTAACCCAACTATTGATGATAATCAGCACTTTTCAGGCACTTCAAAATGGTATTAAAATATTGAGAAAAAATACTAGCCATACACAGAAATCTCGAGATATGATTCTATAATTTATTTTGTCTGATATTTAATAGGTTTTGATAAGAAAATTATTATTTCGATGGAAAATAATATGATATTGTGAATCAGCATCAAAAACTGAGTGTATCTATGCGTCTTTCAAAACTTTTCGCAGCCTTTCTTTCCGTCGAAAAAATGATCCCTGGTCTCTCTCAGAATTGGTTGTTGTTTATTCATTTGCTATTTGAAGTTCTACTATCGTTTTATAACCTTAGAGTTAGATTTCCACTATCAAAATAATTTCTCGATCAAGTTCATTTTTTTTGATTCAACGCTGAAGGAAACCAAGGGTGAAGTTTTTGATGGCAAAAAAAGTTCTGCAAATATTTGAAATACATGTAAATTCACTCAATTTGAGATATTAATTTAGAATATCATATTAGTTTTCACCCAAATCGTAGTTTTTCTTATCAAAATCTACTGAATATCAGTAAGAAAAGGCTCATAATCATGTGTCGAGAATAGTCTCTTCGGATTTCTTGATGTGGCTGATGTTTTTTCGTCTATGTTCTAATACAATTTGAAAACGCTTGAAAATTGCTGTTGAACCATATAAAAACTAGCCTAGTCGCTCACTCGTGAGATAAATAGATAAAAAAAGTGTTGATTATCATCAATACTGAGGTTCAATTTACATGCGATGACAATCGAGCAATTTACCCTAGGATTCATTTTCAGATAACTTGTGTGATAGTTAGAGATAGAAAGAAAAAATGAAATTTCTCGAGGACGACAATTTCCCAAGTTATCGACCTCATTCCTTTCAATAAGAAACCTTTTCTTTAGAGCTGATCCACGTGATGGTTTATCATAAGGTGGTTGTTTTGGAGTGTGCAATTTTTCTTCAGATGTTGCTTCTTTATCTTTTGTTTTAGCTATTGATTGCCATAGAAATGTTTTACCAACTTCTTCAGAAAAATTTATGACACCTGTTGATGTATCTATCTACAAAAAAGGAAAACCAAAGAAAATCGATATAGATGAAAATATAAATTAATTAATCATTACTTTAACATTTTCTGTTGGTACTTTCATTACTTGACCGTGACCAACTGGTATACGAATTTCACCAGTGTTAAATGTGATTGTGTCACTTGTCTAAGAAAATAATTAGAAGAAAATTTAGACTATTTGTACTTTGAATCATTTCTTAGTACTTTAAAATATGTTGAAATCTGAATTTTATAGCACTAAAGTATTCTATTTTCTTCATACTATAATCACACAAATTTTGATGTAGATGTAGTGAAAAATTTTACGAGATAGCAACTGAGATTGTATTGAAATCTTTTTAAAAATAAGTATTGGAAATAGTACCCAAAGTTCAATATGGAACTTCATTACTTGAACATTTTACAATTAGAAATTTTCTTTAAAAACTTGGCTTTCATTTTAGGAAGAACTCGTAATTGAGAAAAAGTCCTAGTAATTGTTCTCATTATAGATTACTGTGATGCCCCTGCTTAATTCATATGGACGGAACAAAATTTAAGTATTAGTTTTATTTTCGATATAGTGTTACAATACAATATCGTAGAGAATTGATTTCGAATACAACATGTATGAAAGAATTTGGTTCGAAATTTTTTCTAAAGATCAGAAAAATCTTAAAAAGGAAAAGATATCAGGAAAGTTCCGCAATATCGGTCAGAATTTTTGTATCTGAATATATTTGCTTAATCTTTTTTATTACTGACTTTCAATGTTTTCCAGCATCAAATATATGCATAAGTATTCATTACAATGATGGCTTTCGTATGATATTAAAATAATTGTTCTAGCATATAAGAAACTAAACAACAGATAATTTAGTTTTAAAACAAAGTCTTATTTGAATATCTTATAGAAAAGCTGTATACTATTCTAAATAATGTCATTTTAGTAACGAACTTTCATAAACTTCCTCTTTCATATAAAATATATCTTCTAACAACTTCTGTTGCGAACTAGAATTTAGTTATTTGACTATGATTGCTATAATAAAAGATCTCTACTGTGGGAAACCATCGAGATCGATCAAAAGCGCCCACGCTACGGATGCACTTCTTATTGGAAGGTTTCCCGTTTCTTTTCTGCAACCTATAAGTATTCAGTTGCAATTGCTTTTTGGTTGCACAAGGTCATCTTTTTCTTCTTTCCAACAATTTATTAGTTCAAATGTTTTTAATCAGAAGTAAAGCAGCACATATTGACATGATTTGATGTTACTAGCTGTCAGCACAAATGTTACACCAAGTACTGTTGCTATTATTTAATATTGCTTTTTTTTCTTTCCAGTATGCACTGGTAGTTTTTTTTTCTTTTTATGCGTATCCTATGATTGTTGATTATAACGCAATACGTATAACATCGTTTTGTCTCGTTCTGCGTGTGATTGATAGAACATATGTCGTTTGCAGCAGAGTTTATTATTGTTTATGGGACGAGAAATAAGTGTCATCTGCTCAGAATAAGGAGATGTTTATTTCTAAGAAGCTCATTCCTACCGAAATTGGCTTAAACGGAGTATGAACTGCCTAATATAAGGAGGTACTCACATAGAAAAATTTCACTTTAGTTTCGAAAAATCAGTGCTACCTTAAGATTCGATAACTGTGTTCATATCGACCGTTTTAAAATATATGAAATATTTCTATTTTTCCGTTTGTTTCCATAATTCTCTCTCCTTACGTTATGAAACTTGAAAAATAAAAATAAAATTTTGCGTATTTGGTTGAAATTTTTTTTCTTTAAATTACATTCTTTTATGCATATTTGCACTAGAAATTTTGTTCTTTCTAACAAAAAAAACCAAAGATTAAGACTCGACGATATACCATTGCAATGCTATATGGAAAACAAAATTCCTCGAGAATTTTTACCTTACTTTATTATTATCTAATCTATTGAAATACTTTCTAAGTGAGTGTTATGCAAGCACTTAAGCAATACTTACACTATACATTACGTGATCTTATCTCTCGAGTAGTTTTCGATAGAACGAAAATCATAAAAAAGGTTACAAACATTCGTTTCTTATGTTTCCTCATATTCTCAAAACATCATGTCTTAACAAACCTTCGTTCCATCATCATCCATTGCTTCAACAACACTATTTCTCCTTTCTTCAATTTCTTTTTTAACAACTTCTGGCATAATATCATCTAAATATTCAAGTTCACGTTGTGTAAATATATAATCCATTACTTTTCTTGCACCAACTAATGCTAAAACCATTATGGGAAATAATATGGATATACTTTGAATCGATTTGATAATCCATAACATAGCTAAACAACTTAATTGTATAAATGTAAATATATGTACACGACGTGTTCGTACATGACGAAGATAAACATAATCTGGTTGATATTTTTCCGGCATAAAAA